GCTACTCCAGCGCTGTTGTGGAGAGTTTTTGAACCGTTATTTACTGCTTACAGATGGACACTTTTTCAACTATTCTACTATGGGAGTTAATACTCCTTACTTCTACACTCCATAATTCTACCTATGTTTCTATGATAAAAAACTAACCGCGCGAACACAGAGTAACGCACATTTTTTGTTTGAAATAGCTGTTCTAGTAGGTAAGTACATACTACATCAATAGTAACGCCACATTAAAATGAGTGAGGCACTCAACCAAGAGATAGCGTCATATGTCATTTATATTTTCAGATTTCAAATAATAATATTCAGGCTTAAAATATATCCGTCTAAGACAGGTATACAGAAAACTTTACTGTGCACGATATTGCAATGTATTTTTGATAACTCTCGGCCTTTCACGCCGTGAGTTTCCTGATTCTGTTCAATTAACCGCTGATACTAAATTATAGCGTTTGTCTAATCGGTCATTACAAACATAGATAATATCTAGATCTACATACAAGAGATCTAGTCGTACTAGATCATGTCGGATAATGAATTGAACTGGATAATTCTATTAGTTCTATTTAAGCCTGGCTTGTATCGCGTGGTTTGAGAGTCGTATCTCGTAATCGTATTAGATTTCGAGTTTCATTATCTGATATCATCAAAACTACATATTTATATTTCAATATCTATATATTTTGCGTACGCGTTTATATTATTTTCTCCTCCGATATTCGATGCGAATCAGTATTTTAGATGTATATCAGTATTTTGGAGCTAATGCAGATTTAGTTGATTGTAGTTTTAACTTTATTATTTTAAGGTTTTAAACTCGGTTTCTGTTAAGTCAATTTAGTATAATTTGCTTTACGCACATATATAGATAACTGTAAATAACGTATTTATGTAGGTAGGAGGTACACAAATGTTAATAAATTAAATAGCCGATTCCCGCGACTTCGGCCGCGTGAAATCAATTTAAAAAGATACAGTTGGGAATTCTCAAAATCTTTTTTTTTTTGAGCGGATCTATATTTGTAAATATATTATAGTCAACCAAATCTAAGAAATACATTTTGACAGCTGTCAGTCTTATTGCACGAAGCATGCCAACCAAAAAATGGGAACGTAAAATATTCGATTATTAAAAAAATCGATATCGGTTATTTAGAGTTGGTAATCATTTACAGTTTGGTTTGAATAATACCAGAATAAATTAAAAACGGATAATTTAAAACACAAGATTTATCAGTTTCTTCGTATTTGTTGTTACTGCTTATTTCTAGAGGCACAGTTATAAAAATTTAAGATTGAAACTAGATTCAAAATAAATTTATTCAATCACTTTCAGTACAACTAGTAGGGGTGTCGTTGTTTATATTAATTATTATTATTTGATTTTTGAGATTTCAATAATGCAGTCAAAATTAAAAGTCTCTTTCAAAGTTATCCATAATTCCACTTTTGGCCAATCATCCTTTGTGACACGGGCACATGCTTCAACGAATTTTTTTTATAGCATTGGGTGACAAACGAGCACACAATCCACCTGATGGTGAGTGGATGCTATGGCCCATAGACATACACATTTATCCTCAATTAAGAATCAAAATGCAAATGCGTTGTCACCCCTGAGGACTAAGATGGAATGCCTCGATTCCAGTAAATAGGGTCTCCAGTTCTCTACACTCACCATATGAAACACATCATCATTACGCTGCTATTTTAAGCTGGTATTTATTCTGTGAGAGCGCGGTCGTGCCCTGGTTGAGCCGACCCATTCGTGCTACAACTATATATAGATGTAGCGTGGCTCTACCACGTACAAAGAGTTATTATAGAAGAAACAGTCCAAAAAGTTAAAGCCGAGTCACAAAATAAGAAAAAACATAAAATCACAAAATTACGCACAGTAAGCTCTCGAAACAGAAACAGAAACTTTTTTTTAATATAGATTATGAATAATACTTATTGAAAATCACTTTTTTCATTTACCAAGCAAGAAACCCAACGGGACTAGGTTTTTTTTTTAAATAAGAGCTTACAATCATGCGTGTTACAATTAACAACACAAAACAAATTATAAATATCTTGGTAGCGATCACCCTTCTCAGGGCTTATTATCATCCATAAATTCCTTAATATTAAAATAACCCTTTTTATACAAACTTAAATAAAGTTTTTAAACTATGTGTACTTACGTCAAATTGTGTATATTTTCTGGCATTTTGTTATAAAAGCGTATACATCGCCTCAAAAATGAATCACTGATTCTGTGGAGTCGAGTAACTGGTATCAAAATGGCGGGATATTGAAATTATGTAGTGGTTATTTTAGCACGGCCTTGTATATGAGTTTTTTGCCTACAAAAATTTACTTTAACAAAGTAAAAAAAAAATAAAATTGTTTTATTCATGATTCATGTAATTAAAGAATTTTTACATTTAAGAATTTAATAATTCGATTATTAGAATATTTTTACCGATTATTTAATTATTTTGCCGATTATTCGCTCAACAATGAATTTTAATCATCCAAACACTACGGTATTAAACATAGCGACATGTCATTGAAACGACGTCAAGTAAAAAAAGTTAATACTGGTTATTTTTTAATATTTTGCTTTGTTTGAAAAATTCAAATTTAAATTAGTGATAAAAAACCATACACGTTGTAATGAAATGTAGATTACTTCATAATTCTTCGGATTTACGTAAATGGTTACTTTAAATCGTGTGAGTACGCTTGTGCAAAGTTATTGCGGAATGATTAATGTGAAACGTCAAAAGGTATTGCTTAGATTTGGTTGACTATAAATAGATACCCCACAGACTTCAGGAAAAGGAGGTTCTGTATCCATTCAAAACCATCCACGATAGATTTCTTACCTAGTTGTAATAATAATAATAATATAAAATATCTGGACCTGGTTCATGAGGTGACCGACATGTGGGGTGGTCTGCCGGCCGAAATTATTCCTGTAGTCATTTCTGCGAATGGTCTAATCCCGGTCAGCCACTCGAGTTATCTGAGGCGACTGAGATTGCGTGACGGACCGCTCCGGGCTCAAATGCAAAAGGCGGTGCTCCTCGATACCGCTCGCATCGTCCGCAGGTTTCTTTCCCTTTCCCCCTAACCCTCGACCGTTTAGTCTCCCCAGCCGAGGGCTTCCACCTGGTTGGGTTTTTATTTATTTATGTATTTATTTTATTTTATTGATATTTATATGTATATATTTATCATTTTCACTAACAATTATATATTTATAGAATCCAACCAGATGAGAAAACTATAGAGATACCACATAATAATAATAAATAGGTGTAGGGAAGTGACGATCTCATCGCCCGCTGACGTAACAGTTGAGTGACAAAACTGCTACGTCGGTTCAGTCAGTCAGCGCCTTGCCAAGAGGTGTGAGCGCCGTGCCTCGGCAGAACTGAGGGTGCAAAAGCCCGTTTGTGCTTACGGCCATACAATGAAACGGTGCCGGGCCTGGGCGTCTCTCGTTAATTGACGCCCAGAAATGGATGATGAATAATAAAAGAGAACGTATAACGCCGCTGTCTAGGGGTCCCCGTGGAGCGTCTGGAGCTGGCGCTGGACGCAGCAGCATGCGGGCCGCCAGCCGAGCGCGCGGAGCTGCACGATCACCTAGCAGCTCCCCGCATCCATCATCCCCACCAGAAGGCTTGGTGTCGGCAGAGTCCAATCGGACCCAGGAATCCTAAGCAAGCGAAATCAGGCTGTCGTGAGGGCTCTTAACCCAATGCTGGTGAGCTATTTGGAATCCGGCCGGGACCTTTGTGACACGGACTAAATTCTTTTTGGCGTCGCAGTGGCAGTTTGCCGTATTATTGGCGCCAAACTTTTCATGGCTGGATGCGCTACTAGACAAAGTAGCGCCATCCCAGTCTGGAGCAAAAGAATCGAGGACCGTATCACAAAGGCAAGGGCCCTTATAGGCAGGCTGACAAGCTTCAGGTCGGGTAATAATAGACCGAGGGTTGTGCGCACCGTTAGAATGGCGTTTGGTGGAACAAATATCAGTTTATCCCAGCCGGATATCACGCAGAAACTACCGGAGCGCATAGATGACTTGTAGCAAAAAATCGCTGCTGGGTGGAAGTGGATTTGACGATTTACCGAGAGATCAAGGCAGTTAAACCAGAATCGTCTCTTTCAGAGTGATCAGAAGAGGCTCTATAAATCATTGGAGCGACCAATAATATATGGAACGGGCCCAACACCGGATCAGCCCGACACTGTGGCATTCTGGAGAGGCCTGTGGTCAGGGCCCTTGCTGTGGCTTACGGGCCACAGTAAAGGCCCTTGGATGGAAGTTGTGGCGAGCTAGGGTGCGAATATTACGCCCATGGACCCCGTCATCATAATGCCGGAAGACGTAGCTGAGGCGGTCCGTAGGGCCCCGAACTGGAAGAGTCCTGGATTCGACGGGCTGCATCACTACTGGCTGAAGGGGTTTGTGGTGTGTCACGTTGTGCTCGCCTGACAATTTCAAGAGGCTCTCGACCAGAAGTCGCCCCCGAGCCTCTTTACTACTAGGATCACTCACTTGGTTCCTAAAGATCAGGATACCACAGACCTTATGTAAAAATAATTATTATTTTAATTATATACACCAATGGGAGGTCGGAGAGGAATGTGTTTGCGGGTGTGTGCATGCGTGCGTCCGCGCGTGCGTTCGTGTGTGCGTGTGTGCGTGAGTACACATGTTATGCAGCATTTATTAGTTAAAACATAAATTTATTACATACAATGGCTTCTAATCTTAATTACTTACATTAAAAACAGTAAACATCAACAAATTTACATACTAGACAATCGCATAACAATAGACGTGCTGTCGCATATTATGTTAATGATTCCGACTTTCAGGTTTTTATGCTGAGGATAGGAGGATCGAGGTATTAAGAAAGGCTTGTATTCTGCTGAGCAGCGTGCCTAAAAGCTATCGGTAAAAGCTTGAGTGGCTTTCCAGGAGTGTGAGTTCAGTTGTGTATCTTTGAATGAGCCAAACGGTGACATTCCACTGGAGCGCCCAATAAGGAAGTCAGCGCTTCTTCATCTAGGTTGGCGTTCACCGAGGTCAATGGCCTCGAGTTGATCACTTGTTCAGCTTCTGGCAACAATAAGTGTAGCGTTTCATCAGGGTTGTACCACTCTTTCAGGGTGGCTTTTAATGCTGCCTTCACCGATCTGATCAATCGCTCACTGGCGCCGCTCATGTTTGGGGCACCTGGAGGTATCTTCTTCCAGGTGATCAGTTTCTCAGATGCGACGCCGCTTAAGAGAATTTTCGATGGGAACTTCTTTAAAGTCCAACACCATTGGCAGCATGCTCGATTGCCCCCTGTTCTATAAAACTATATTTTATTTTAACAATGTTATGTTTATGTTCTGAAAGTGGGATAAGTTTTTGTGATTTAAGCTCGAGACGTTCGAGGTCAGGGGCCAAAAAGTTAAAATGTTAAAATTCTATACAACTAGAAAAGTATTTAACTTTTTCGAACGTCGTTTTTGGAGGCCAAGGGGCCCAGGGCACTGCTCCGCCTAGCCCATTGGTAGCTACGCCACTGACTCAGTCTATCGTGTGTACGCCAAACCTTAAACTTAAGGTCATGACTCATGACCGAATAAGTGTGAACAGTAATCAGAGAGCGTTTTTTTTTTACAAAGTTAGTGTTAAAAAACTGTGTGGTGAAAAGCCTCTGAGGGTTGACACATATATCGGCTTAGATCCATCATCAGTGTGAAGAAGTGCGAATATATTTTTAAACTAATGAATTCATTCAAAATAATGAATTCATTAAAACTTGTCAACATAAACCTAGCCGTCGTAAATTTGAAATAAATCAAAATGCTTTTATATAAATATTTATTTTAATAAAAACAATCCATTACCAAAAGGTACATATACCTAAATAACAAGCAAAGTTCATTCATTGATAATAATAAAAACGTTGACGGATTAAGGGGTCGAACTACAAAATATAGTCTTTTAATAGTGAATTTTTGACTTGGTTTTTGATATAAAATTGTGTTCTAAATTTTTTCCCACTATTATTGCGTCCAGATATAGAAAAAATGCTATTATTCGAATAAAATTGACGACACAGTAGAACAGTGCCTAAGCGCTTTTTCATAAGGGTAACTTTTTATTATACCTGACTTTGTCAAAGTCCAACAGGCGGGTGATATTTTCGGCTGGTACATTCACCCGAAATTCTTAACAATACGTTAGAATTTAACAATTTTATCTCAATTATGATATCAGCAATTTATGTACGTAAAACTATGGAATAGTTTTACGTACATAAATTGCTCATGGACAAACATCCCGACAAAATGCTCTGAACCATGCATTATTGAACTATTTAAAATAATAATTTATAAATACAAGTAATAGGAATTTCTGCACATTAATAGATTGAGTAAATATAAAAAGAGTTAGATTTTATCTAACTTTAACTCGCCTACATTGAGACTGCAATCCACTTTTTATTTCATACAGTGTTTTTGAAATAATACAGTTAGTTAATTAAATCTAAACTACATCTGAGTAACTTACAATATATTTCATTTGATGTTCCTTAAAACACAATTTAAAGAAATTTCAATAATTTATTCGTATGTACAATAAAAAAATTGTCAATTTATCATTTTCTCTTATTAAATTATACAAACAAACACAAAACTCGTTTCTAAACAAAGGCGTACTTTCAAACTTTAAAAAATGCAACTTGTTAATCTACATATTCTAAGACTAGAAGCACTATACAAGAAAACCTTGCGTTACGAGATTCGGAAGTAGGTCTGATACATGGTACCCAGCGAAGTGGTGAGGAACCAGGCGAAGCAACACCACCATGTCGCGAACCCAAATAGCCCACGGTGCACTTCCGTTGTGAAAACCTAGAATCGAACAAATATTGAAGGCGTCAATCATAATAAACAACTTGTTGTTTACCCCCAGCTACACACTCGTCGAATGGCATAGGAAGTAGCGAGGAATGGAGGCACAGACGTAGTGTGGCCACAATATTCATCATGCCGCACGTCATGCTCTTCGTCATACACATCCCTCCCTGTTTTGTAGGTTTTTTGGGCTCCAGTCAAGGGAGTGGCAATATGAGCGCGAGTGGCTCGCCATACACTTGCGCAAATACAGTCCGAAGTTAAGTTAAAGTAAAAGCACGTCACGCGTCATTTAAAAATCATAAAGAGTATTCCTACCACTATCATTTAGCCATATTATCATATGAGTAAATAATATACATAGAAAAAGCTATTTCGACAACGACAACGTATATTTCTTTTTATGACATTGATATCATTAGCTATATAGCTCTAATATATATTAGCTATATTTTTATGACATTGATATCATTAGTTACAACATCCATTGTGTTGCAAACATGCAAACACGAGCGACCTGGTGCGGAGCGTCGCGATTAATTGCGCGAGTAGAGGAGTGTGTGGGCAGAGGGCAACGTCGCAGCAGCGCGAAGAGCAGAGCGATGAGTATAGTGTGGCTGAGCCTTAGGATAACTGACCTGTTTTTACCCGATTGCACTAGGAGTAGGGTAATGTTTTTCGAGTGTATGCATGGCTATTTCTTTGGTACGCTCTGTAGCCTAAACGGGTTGGTGAATGTTATAGTCAACCAAATCTAAGAAATACCTTTGACGTTTCACATTAATCATTCCGCAATAACTTTGCACAAGCGTCCTCACACGATTTAAAATAACCATTCACGTAAATCTGAAAAATTATAATCTTATCTATTTTTCATTACAATATGTATAGTTTTTATCACTAATTTAAATTCGAATCTTTCAAACAAAGCAAAATATTAAAACAATAACCAGTATCAACTTCTTTACTTGACGTCGTTTCAATGATATGTGGCTATGTACCTTACCGTAGTGTTTGGATGATTAAAATTTATTTTTATACGAATAATCGGCAAAAATATTTAAAAAAATCGGTAAAAATATTCAAATAATCGAATCATTAATTTTTTAAACGTATTATTTGTTCAATTAAATTTTTATTTTTAAAATTCTTTAAATTACATGAATCATGGATAAAAGATGTTTATTTTTTTACTTTGTCAAAGTAAAGGAGACAAAGTAAAATAATAAATTGAATAAAACTATTATTTACGGATTTTATCGCGTTTAATTACTTTAATTTATTTTTATTATTATCCCGACGTTTCGGGTGCTTTACAGCACCCATGGTCACGGGGGGGACTGAGATGTTTGATGTCCCAATGTCATAGTTAGTCCGGCTACCTTAGTTTTTTTTTAATATTAATTTTTGGTCCGATTTACGCAAAACGAGCTTATAGTATCATGAAGTCTTGCAGTGGTATGCTTGGGTTTGGGTTTAATTTTGTTAATTATAGGATCCCAAGCAGATGGCAGCACCCAACCATCTTCTCTATTGAAATTTGGATGTTTTTTAATTTCAATAGCCTCGCGTATCATCCTTGGTAGGAATCGGTGTTCTTTTGCGAGAATTTGTGGTTTATCAAATCTAATGTAATGGTGGAGACGATCTTCAACATGTTGGCAGACTGCAGACTTCCCGGAGCGTCGGTCTGCGAACATGTTCAAGATCGTCCCCACCATTACATTAGATTCGATAAACCACAAATTCTCGCAAAAGAACACCGATTCCTACCAAGGATGATACGCGAGGCTATTGAAATTAAAAAACATCCAAATTTCAATAGAGAAGATGGATGGGTGCTGCCACCTGCTTGGGATCCTATAATTAACAAAATTAAACCCAAACCTAAGCATACCACTGCAAGACTTCATGATACTATAAGCTCGTTTTGCGTAAATCGGACCAAAAATTAATATTAAAAAAAAACTAAGGTAGCCGGACTAACTATGACATTGGGACATCAAACATCTCAGTCCCCCCCGTGACCATGGGTGCTGTAAAGCACCCGAAAGGTCGGGATAATAATAAAAATAAATTAAAGTAATTAAACGCGATAAAATCCGTAAATAATAGTTTTATTCAATGTGTAGTGTTCGCGTAAATTTAAAAAATCATTAAAAAAATAAACTCCATTTTTAGATTAGAATTTTGGGCCCACAAAACATTTTAACGTAACTTAGTGGTATTACACATAAAAAAGATACGAATTTACTATAGTAAAGGGCCTAAAGATTTTGTAAAAATTATACCGGAATCATCAAATCTGAAGAAAAAAAATTGTTTTGATATTCTTGTACTGGGTAATGTAATATATTGAATAATAAAAAGATAAATGATTTTGAAAATGATAAATTATGATATACATATACATAATACATAATTATGTATTTGTATATTATATATTTATTACTAAAAAGAAATACCACTAAAACCTTGTTTTTAAATCGATTTCTAAAAATTAATACTATATAATTAACACTAATAAATTTATACCTATGGCAAAATATTCTATAATGAAATATAACTACGATTGTATATATAGCAATTAGTATAGAGATTTAAAGCCAGGCTTTTGGATATAAATTTGTTAAAAGCGGAGGCGCGCGGGCAATACGTTTGCAAGTTCATTTCACGTTTGAATGTTTATTTACTCTGTGTGCTTATCTTAAGCGATTTATTATTACGAGTTCAAAAATTTATGCTTTTTAATGAAAATGGACGATAATAGTGTTCCTTGTGATGAATTCAAGTGTGTTAAAGTAATAATCGGAGAGGAAATCTTTAAACTTTGTTGAGATAATACACAAGGTTAAGAGTGTATTTCAGACTTATCAATTATCGCAATTAAAAACAGTTATTGGTACAATTAAAACGTTCACCAACATTTTACTTAGACGTAATTAAATCTTTCCATAAGAAAGCGAGACGATTCCACTTATCTTATCTTATCTCTTATCCATTAGAATGTAAATAATTTTTTTTTAATTTTGTAGATAGTTTGTTTGTACTTTGTTCGTGTTTTACTTTTGTTCATGTATTGTATTGGATGTAAATATTTTTTTTTCTTTCACTTAAACAAACCCAAACGGCTTTCTTCAAAGCCACCGAAGCTATGCAATTGCTGATATGTAATACAATCTATCTAGCAGTGGTATGCTTTCTGTGTGCTTTGTTAAACACGTCCTTGACAGCACTGAATATGAAACTGAAGCGTGGAGACAGATCAAGATTGGTGTATTTTTATAAAACTGCTAAAAACAACAATCTA